TTTGCGAGCTTTCTTAATCACGGGCTGTGGCTTCAGTGCTTCCTCAGAGAACTTGGGTTTGCGAGGGTCAAACATTTCCTGCCCGGGGATGCTGGAGAGGGCAAGGTCGGCCGGGTCTGGCTCATAGCCCACCAGGACCTGGATGGTGTCAGGGTCAATGGGGCTCGGAATATTGCGGTTGGCTGGCAACAGCTGGTCTGGTCTGATGGGGCTTTGCATGCAGTTTGGAGATGGGATGCCAGAGTGAATGGGTGCAGAGGTCCGACTGCTGAGGTCCATGACGGAGGGGGCAGCTGACGAAGCCGGCTGCGGCCCGGGAGGGTGAGGGCTGTGGTCATGCTGAGACGGGCTGGGGGGAATGCCATTTTCCGACAAAAACTCCTCCAGGTCCATGTATTCCACCTGGAAAGTATCTCCGTCATAGGGAAGCGTTTTGTCCCATAAGGTGGGTCCCAAGAATGCTGACTGGGGGAACGTCGGGCTCTTACTCTCATCATCCAGCTTCTTTTCCTTTATCTTTACTAAATGTGTCTTCGTGATGAAGGGGGAGCTTCAGTGGGTTCTCCAGCAAGGACCCGAGCACACCGTAGGGAGGTGGGATAAAGGTGGGATTCAGTGGGAGTGGTCGGGACATTTTCTCCATCGCTATGCACTCAATTTTTTTTTTTTCTTAAAAAAAAACCCACCCCAACCTCCCCCCAAAATGTTGCTGAGCTTCTTCCTCCGTCCTTTGCCAAAAGTTCTCGCTTTCAAGGCGGTGGAGACAAGGGAGGAAAAAAAAATTACCTATGTCTTTATAAATGCATCTGCATAAAAATATAAATATATCTGCATAAAAACAAAAAACTTTCAGGTTCGCAGTGCAGTCCCCAGGGAGCGCGCCAAGTGCCCGTGGGCTCCTCGACGACGTGCAGGATGCTCTCACTTGCCTCGAACCCCTCGTCTTGTAAAATGTTCAAAATTGCGAAAAGGAAAAAAAAAAGACGCAGACGGCTGCAGAGGGCGGAAGGCACCGCACCAACCGGCCGCATCGGGCCCTCCCACCCCACCCCCTCCCTGCGCCGGGGGCCGCTGCTCCCCCGGCCTCGCTGCCCACAGTCTCTTTAGATCCCAGTAAAGAAGTGAGCAGAAGTCTTCCGAATCTGCAGAGCCCCAGGGGCAATGAAAATGGAAGGATTTGTCACAGCCTAGTTGATCTGGAGACTCCCACTGGGTTTATTTTAAGCTTCCCAACCTTGCTCATTATTTTCCTTCAGTGTTTCCTGTTTTCCCTTCCAGATGACTGAGCACTCTTTAAGCTCAGAAAACATGAGTTATAATTTATGCGTGTTCCTCCCTCAACCAAATATTTATTTTTATCAGCAACTATTTACATATCCATGAATATGAAAAGTAATTAATGTAAAACTGAAGAGCAAGCTTGAACGCAGCTTTGTTATTAGATGGAGCTTCCTAAGAAGATATCTGAGAAGACCCTTTCCGTGATGGTCTGATTGCAGCGGCACTGAGCGCCTACAGGAACCCCTCTGGGGTAGTCAGTGAGCTAGGCCAAGAGCGAGTCCTGGGGAAACAGGGCTGATTACATTTAAGGCATCTGGGACCAGACAGCAGAAAAAAGGAGCAAAATGTTGGGCCTCCTGCATTGCTCTTCTAATTTTCTTCTTGTTTCTCTCCAGTTTTCTTTCCCTGCAGCTTTTTTCTCTACTTTCTGGAGAGTACTACCTTACTCAACTTTATATTCAAACCAGATTTGTCTAATTTCTCCCTTTAAGTCTGCCAATTTTTACTTCATGTAATTTTGAAATTCTGTTATTGAGTATGTAGTTAGAATTTTTATGTCTTTTTGACCTTTTTATCACTATGAAATGATCCTTTTTATTTCTGTTAAATTCATCTATTTTGTCTGATATTAATATGAACACACCAGTTTTCTTTTTCTCCTGTTTTTAGTCTTTTTTTTAAAGGTTTAAAAATAGCCTTTTATTTTTCATATACACAGACACACACAGACATACACACACGTACATATATGTATGTATGCATTTTTTTATGGAGAGAAAAGTTTACATTTTATTTTAGAACTGAGTCTGAAAATACTAAATTACTAGAATTCCCTTTTTATGCTGCTCCTCATATAATTTGGAAAACAATAAGTTTTTTTTAAAAAGTTTTATTGGATTATAGTTGATTTACAATATTGTGTTAGTTTCAGGTATACAGCAAAGTAAATCTGTTTTATATATATATATCTCCATTCTTTTTAGATTCTTTTCCCATATAGGCCATTACAGAGTATTAAGTAAAGTTCCCTGTGCTATACAGCAGGTTCTTACAAGTTATCTGTTTTATATATAGTATTGTGTATATGTCAGTCCCAATCTGTTTTTAGGTTTTTTGTTTGTTTGTTTGTTTTTGCGGTACACGGGCCTCTCACTGTTGTGGCCTCTCCCGCCGCGGAGCACAGGCTCCAGACACGCAGGCTCAGCGGCCATGGCTCACGGGCCCAGCCGCTCCATGGCATGTGGGATCCTCCCGGACCGGGGCACGAACCCACGTCCCCTACATCGGCAGGTGGACCCTCAACCACTGCGCCACCAGGGAAGCCCTGTTTTTAGTTTTATAAATGAATTTTTCTATTTTTATTAAACTCAAAAATAAAATGATTCTTATCACATCTCTAAAGCTAGCACATGTTGTTTCAGCACAGATTTTAAAAACCCTATAAAGCTATTTTTAATAGTATGCTGTTTGTGTTTTGTGGAGACTGTATCTTTCCTTACTTCTTTGAAGATATTAATGATAGTGTTTTTCGTTTCTTGAGTTTTCTTCTCCATGAATAATCTATGTCTTCTAATTTGTGTTCTTCTCTTTGTGTGTTTTGGTCTCTAATATTTGTGTTAGAGGTTTCTTCCTGATGACCTTTGGTTGTGTAATAATGTTTAAGAGTAGGAGACTAAAATAAGATGAAATCTCTGTGCTTGAGCCTATAGTGCACTTCACAGTATGGTGATCAGGCCGAGCTGTTTGTTGGGTGGCCCAAATGCCAGTATCTTCAGGTCTTTTTCTACAGACTGGTCAAGTTTCCCAGAGAAGATTCTTCCCATCTATCTGAGTCCATCCAGGCTGCTGTAACAAAATATTACAGTGGGTGGCTTATAAACAACAGGGATTTGTCACAGTTCTAGGGGCAGGGACGTCTAAGATCAGGGTGCCAGCATGGCTGGGTTCTGGCGAAGGCCCTGCTCCAGGTTGCAGACTGCCATCTTCTTGCTGTGTCATCACATGATGAAAGGAGCTAGGGGACATGTGGGGTCTCTTTTATAAGAGCATTAATCCCATTCATGAGGGTTATACCCTCATGACCTAAGCACTTCCCAAAGGCTCTACCTTCTAATACCATCATACTGGGCATTAGGATTTCAACATAGGAATTTTGTGGGACACAGACATTCAGACCACAGCGCAGTCTGTTTTCCAGAGAATAAAGTTTTGGCCGTCTGCTTTCTGGGAACTCAAGGGGAAGAAGGCTGGCGGTCTCACCATTCAGTAGGCATATGTTCACGTGATCCCTACGTTTGGGGATTGGTAGCTCTGCCCTCAACTGTGCTTGGTGCCTTGTGTCCCTTAGGCCTGAGACCCTCTGTTTGGTCCTCTTTAGAGAATAAACATCCAGACTTATGGGAGGTGGGCAGTTGCCTAGGGGTATGGAGTCAGGAGAGCTTCTCAAACAGCCTTCAACTAACCCTTACTGCAGTCTCCCTCCCCCACTTCCAGAGGTGTCTGGTGTCAGTTCCTTTGTATAAACTGGGTTCTCAGCTTTTCACACTGCCAGCTTCAGCCTTGGAATTCTTGAGTACATAGTCTGTTGTCACTTGTTTATCTGCTTTCTGGGCTCCAAAATCCTGATAATGGTTTCTCCTCTGGGTTTTAGAAGGGAGGGAAATTAACTCAGACGCCAGTAGCTGGAAACCTTAAAAAAGGTTGTTGCCATTGCATCAGTTGGTTAGATAGAGTGCAGAATCTCCAAGGCCATGGATTTTATGTACTTCTGAATAGTCAAACCAGAAGGGAGAATTTTGTAAAAAAAAGTGCTTATGAATCAGGGATAGTATAGACCAAAGTAGCATATGTAGATTGATACATTTGAGAATTTATTTATAAGCATAAAGGGAAATGATTTGGGCTACATCATCTAGGAAGGAGACCTGAGAATGGGTATAGATCTTTTCCTGGGGCCCTCTGCCATGCTGGGGGCCTGTGTATCTGGGACCCTGCACGTGGCTCTGGTTCGTTGCTTCAAGGAAGCACAGTGGGGCTGAGGAAGCTTTGAGCAGGGAGACGTGAAGCGGTACAAGGGCAGGTGGTAAGCACTGGGGTTCTTCAGCCCAGAATGCAAAGAGGTGACATATTTCAACTTAAAACCATGGCCAGTGTGGAGAAGGCAGGTGTGACGCCAGATCCCGAGCTGCTGGGAGGAGAGGGTTGCTTTTGAACCTGGAGCAGGTAAGTTTAGCACAGATAGAAGAAAGCGTAATTTACCATGGCAGGTCGGAAGCTTGGAAAGCTATTTACAAGCGACTCTTCTGGCAGATGGCTTAATTCCATAGGGGGGTGGACAAAAAGAGAGAGGCTTCTGAGAGATACTGGAGATACTGACACACACATAACCCTTAATTTAGACACTGAAGAGGGCAGTATGCTCTTACTGGGTTGGATGGAGAATGGGGCGGCTTGGAGTAGTAGGAAAAACTTTACCTGAATTAAGAAGATCTGTGTTCAAATCCTGACTCCTCAACTTACTCGCCCTGTGACCTTGAGCAATTTCCTAACCTTTCTGACTCTCACAAGGTTCTGGTGAAAGTTAAATAAGGCAGTTCCGTAACCTATCAATAAAGCAAGTTAGCCCAGTCCTGAACTAAATTGTCTGGGTTTTAATTTAACACGTATGTGCTGAGCCCTATCAAATACCAGGCTGTGTGCATATATCTCCCCTATTCTAGAAAGGCTCATGAAGTGAAGGTGCAGCTCTGCTCTATCCTGCAGACCTTCCTCAGGATGGCGGGAGGCTGTGAAGGTGAGCGTCCCTGTGTCCTAACCCTGTGTCCTCTCCTGGTTGCAGAGCGTGTGATGAGGGAGAGTATCTGAGCCCTGCCTTGGCCCGAGCAGCTGATCCCATCTCAGCAGACACCCCCCACTTCCCTCTTAGCCACTTTCCTGATAACCGAGCAGAAGTTTTCACAACATACTGTGTAACACCAGATGGTGACGTAGTTTGCCAGCACTTCTCCTTTTCATTTACTTGTTTCTTTTGAGAGTGTCTGGATGCCCAGCTCTGGGACAGGAGAGTTGAAGGTTTGGGGGCAAGTGGAGCGGGTGGGAACGACAGACACTGTGACACTGTGGGTGTTTGAGTTCACTCCCCTTCTGCAGAAAAATATGTCCCTAGCCTCCGAGTGCCCACATCATATGATTAGTTGTGGTTACCTCAGATCAGGGTGTGCCTCCTGCAGGCCAGGTGTGTTCCCCATTTCTCAGCATCCAGTCAGAGAGGTTCCGTGATGTTGCTCTGATACGCATGTCAGCACTTGCCTGGTGTGTTGCAGCGTCTTGCCGGTAACCACTACACCTGCCCATCCAAATCCCAGCTTTAAAGGTACTTCAGTGTCATTCACATATCTTCTTGGCCTCAATTAAACTTTCCTTATGTCCACCCCTAAACGACATTGCGAGCTCTCATTTGAATCAATGCCCGACCTCCTTTCCTTGAAGGTTGTGATGGTGGTGGTGGGAGGCCTGATCCGCCCTTCCTCTCACCTTGCCTCCGCCGTCGGAACCTGTTTAACTTCGACCCTGTTTCTTTCCTTTTCCAGAATTCACATGCTGCGTGTCAGACTGAGCTATCCCTGTTTAACCCTATAATCCAAGACTTGCTACTCTGTTCTGCTGATGTTTACGGCCGTGCCACGAGGCAGCCCCCTCCCCAGAGCATTTCAGTGGGAGACCTCCACGCGCCCCATGGAGACTCGATGGGGCAGGGGAAGAAACTGCAGGAGTGTACATCCCCAAGGCTGTGTCTCCTTGTGTGAATCAGTGTCACCTTGCTTTCCTCTCAGAGACCTCGCTGCCCCAGGGGGGACCTGCCTGGGGAATCGAGGGGCTCAGGGAGCCACTCCACGTCCCCGCTTCTCCGGCGCTCCGCACCCTGGGCACTGCGGCTCCTGGGGCAGTGGGGCTGCTGCGGGCTCAGAGCCGCTGCTGCCCTGCATGTGCCAGCTCAGCTCTGTCATCAGCTGTGTGGATGTGTACACGAGGGACACGGCATCTTTCTGAATGGATTTTTCTTAAGAAATGTGCCAGTGTTTATGCAGTTCATGATATTTCCCCACATCCTTGCTGTCACTGTCACTCAGCTTTGACCTCAATAGGCTTCATTCCCCATTTTTTTAATGGGAAAATTTTGTCCTTCACCCCAGGCGTCCTGTATTTGACCCCCTCCCCCACCCCCACCCCCGCCAAGGTACAGAATTACCTACGGTTCTGACAAAACATAAGAAAGTCGTCTTTGGGAAGCCTGTGCACTCTTTATGTCCTCTGTACTTTGTCTTTGGAGAGCAGTTGGCATTCTGCTCGGTTCCATGCAGCTCCACCTGAGCTGAGTGTGGGTATCACTGTGACCAGCCATCGTGTCCTGCCCTGTTCCTTCACAGCCAGAGCAGCTGACGGGCAGCTGCAGCCAGGTCGGCCCTTCTGTGAGTCCATTCACCCAGGTAGATTTTAAGCAGGTGGAGTCTGTGTGGCCTAGAAGGGTGAAGTGAGAGAACTGTGTCTGCGGGTGAGTCTGTGTGTATGACACCATGAGCCCCCCCGACCCTTCCAACCCAAACATACCTGTGAGCCCCTGTGCCTAGGCCCCGGGAGACCTGCCTGCGACCTGGTTTCTACTGTCTGCTCAGCACTGGCCCTGCTGGCATCACAGGCAGAGTGCTCTGCGGTTCTGTGTACACAGCCACGGGGACAGGAGTAACTTAGTGCCCCATTGGCTCCCTGAGCAGGTGTGAGTCTGGCCACTCCCCTGCCTCTGTTTGCAGGTTCTGGCTGCAGGGCACAGGGTCCCAGCAGCGTGAAAGACAGCTGGAGTTTGACCTCCCAGGCATCCCTGGAGTCCTCAGCTGGGAGACAGCTGGGTGGCTGGTAGTAGGTGCCCCGCACGGCCAGGTGGTTGCAGGACAGAGTGGCTCCAATTGCGTTGAACACCCCACCGCCACCCAAGCAGAGCGCGGTATCCCTAAAATGACGATGACCCTCTAGATGCCTAGATCTCAGAGCGTGGGTTCAGCTCAGCAGAGAGGATGTGATGTGTGATGGCTGAGGGCGACTCTCGGAGCTGGAGCTGCCTTTTCCCTTTCCAGCCTTGCGGTCATCGTGGCTCCTCTTCCCAGGAGGGGTCGGTTCTCATCTTAGGCTTTGGCGGGGTGACCCTGGGGACATTCTCACCACTGCCAGCTCCTGGAGCTGTTCCGGCTCTTGGCTTGGGGCCCCGTGGGTGGGCATGTGTCAGAGGTGCTCGGCGAGCCGGGCAGGGTGGCAGGCATTGCCCTCGGGGTCCCACAGAGAAGCTCTTTCTGAAGAGACCCAGGGACAGAAGGCAACCAGCTCTCGCATCACCGGTCATGTGCCACGTTCTCCTCTAAAGAAAGAGACACGGCAAAGCTGTGTCCCTGTGCCCTGCCCTGGGTTTGCTGTGCACGTGGACAATAGAAGGTGGAATGACTCCCTCACCCTTTCCCTTTCCTCTCCTGACCCACATGAAATGGTGACTCGTGGTTAAAGGAGCAATTAGCCGCCCGTGACTCTGCTGTCAGCTTGTTGTGGGGAGGCCCTCCTTCCCCAGGCCAGGAGATTTGGAGACCGGGGCCAGGCCGGGTCTGAAGGAAGAAGAGGGAGGCCTAGCCCGGTTCCAGTTCATGTTTAGCTGTGGGACAAGGGCAGCTCATTTTGAGCCACATGAAGTTCTTCCTTCGCCGTGTAGTAAAAGCCCCTGGTTCCGCAGCCCCGTCCTCCTTCAGGGAGGATGCTGAAGATCTCGCGCTCTCACTGCACCTCTGGAAAGTCCCCAGCATTGAACCTCCAGGGAATGGACGAGGGACACCAAGGAGCCGCTAGTATCTGCCTTTGCCACCTGAGCAGTTGGCGTGGAGAGGGTTTCCCAGCCACCCCCTTTCTTGGGGCCACAGTGTCACCATTGTAGGCGTCGGTGGCATGTCACCACTGTGAGCAGTGAGCTTGTGGGGTGACATGCAGAACCTGTCTGCACAGCTCCCAGCAGACGTGCACAGGGGTGCTGTGCTGAGCCTGGTCTGTGCTCCCTAGGACAGGGATGCAGAAGCCCGCAAGCCATCTTCCCTCTCCCCCCGTCATCGCCCGCCCCCCTGCATCCCCAAGGTGGTGCAAGGGAGGGGGACATAGCGGTTTTTAGCTTTGCCTCTCACAACTGTGCCTAGTCCCCAGCCTGGTTTCTATCAGCCTCCAGCCAGGAAAACAGAATCAGTCTGTGTATTTAAAACAGGGGTTTGGGGACTTCCCTGGTGGCACAGTGGTTAAGAATCCGCCTGCCAGTGCAGGGGACACGGGTTGGAGCCCTGGTCCGGGAAGATCCCGCGTGCCGCGGAGCAACCAAGCCGGTGCGCCACGACTACTGAAGCTCGCGCGCCTAGAGCCCGTGCTCCGCAAGAAGAGAAGCCACCGCAATGAGAAGCCCACGCACCACAACGAAGAGTAGCCCCCACTCACCGCAACTAGAGAAAGCCGGCAGGCAGCAGTAAAGACCCAACACAGCCAAAAATAAATAAAATAAATTAAAAAAAAAAAACAGAGGGGTTTTAATCCAGGGAATCATTTAATACAGAAACAAGAAGAGCTGAGATGCCAGACAGGGGAGTGAGGGGCAACGCGGAGATGGGGAACCACAGCTGGTAGGACAGAAGGGAGAGGCCATGTTACTGGATCTCGGGAGTCACAGCCACTGGTGGGGGCCTGGGACCACAGAGGGCCAATGTGGTGGGAGCTGGAGCCATGAAGAGGCATGGTCCGTGCCAGAAACAGGTCCCTGCCTGGTCCCCCCAGGCAGAGAGGGAGCAGAAATAGCCTCGCTTCTCACTTCCTCGTGCTCTCCAGATTTCTGCAGCTGCCTCTTGTTAGCTAAACCCAGCTGGAAGCCAGCTGACCTGGGAGCTGGGGACAGGCAACCTGTGGTCAGCCCCCCACCACTCAGAGCAGAGCAGGGGAGGGTGGGGGCACAGGTCAGAGGGCAAACAGGCCCAGGATGTGCATGGCCTTGGTCCTCTCTGTGTCATGTCCAAGCCTGGTGTTTATGTCCCATGCTGTCCTAAGACCCTGGTGAGGGTAGATGTGTCTTGTAGCTTCTCTTCCGCTCTGCCTAGGCAGGAAAGCACTTTGGGGAGGCAGTGGGGACTTTATTCTTAACACTTGTCCCAGTTTTCCATTGGGGGGGTTTAGCCACTTAGCAGCCCCACCTCACCATTCCCCTCAGGAAAGCTGCATCCCAGTTTTCTGCCTACCCCTCCCCATTCCTCTTCCCCTAATCTCTGGTTTTCCCTGCCAGAGAACACCAGCCCAGACCATGCATCAGTGGTCATGAGTATTTACCCAGGATAATTCACTCAGAGCGTGATATTAACAGTGAGGACCGTCTGTCTGTAAGTAGATGCCATCTACTAATCAATTTGTATCCTGTTTCCAATAAATTTCTGGAAATTCTATCTGGTTTTATGCTGCCCTTTGCTGGGACAGTGGCTCAGCTATAAGGCTGGGTGCAGGGGCAGGCCCCCAGCCCTCAGCATCAGTTGCTTCCTCCCCTGTGTAGCTCTGAGGCCAGGCAGGTTAATCTGATGTCCCCCCAGCCGCTCAGAGGCCTTTCCCCAGGGTCCGCACTTTCTTCTGCTGTCTCATAAACCACATCCTGAGGACATGGAGGTTTCATGTGGCCAGGCTGCCCCAGCAGGTGGCTTTTGACCGTGTCCCCAAGGCCTGGAGGTATGAGAAGCAACAGGCAGACCTTGCCCCATCTCTCACTCTTGCGCTGCTGTGCCTAGAGCCAGGTGGAGGAAGTGTGCCAGGCCGCTCCTGTGGTGAGCTGAGGGAGTGTGCTGTGCTCCCACCTGGGGCTTTAACAGTAAGGCTCCCATGCCAGTGAGGTGGACGCAGGAACTGCATGTCACACAGATGAAGCCCAGCACCCTCTTCTGCGTCTCACCCTCCTCAGCTCTGAAAGTCAGAAACGAACATGTCTGTGTTGACTTAAAAGGTATCGGGAGGCTGATCTAAATGCCCAGCGTTCTTCACTGTTTCCCAGGCCCTGAAACTCGCTTGGTAGAAATTATTCTCTGTTGAGTATTTTGTTGTTTCCAGCCTCTTTGACTGCAGTGTAGACTGTGCCTCAGTTGCTGTGCTAGGGCCATCATAGGCACCCGTGGGACCCCTCCAGCCTTTGTTTGTGAGGTATGCCTGTTGGCAACCCTTGTTTGCTGGCATTTGTGAGAGGTGTTTTTAAAAAGATACACCAAGTTTCTTTCAAGAGCTTTACTAGAGAAGCAAGACATACACACGCGAGTTTACTGGACAATAGAAAAGGTTGTAGGTAAGGCAAGGCTGTGCTGGTACTTGTAGGAGTCCCAGGAGAGAGGGCTCAGCAAGGCTGGACTAGTGGTCAGGGAAGGTTTTGTGGACGCAGAGGGACCCTCAAGGCAGAACACAGCAGCTCCCTCAGTGAAATCCCTATCGTCGTGGTTCTTAGTGTCTTTTTATTAAGACTTTTAGGTCTTCCCTGGTGGTCCAGTAGTAAAGAATCCACCTTACAATGCAGGGGACGCAGATTCAATCCCTGGTCAGGGAACTAAGATCCCACATGCCACGGGGCGACTAAGCCCGCGTGCCACAACTACGGAGCTCGCATGCCGCAAACTACAGAGCCCACGTGCCCTGGAGCCTGCACGCCACAAGTAGAGAGAAGCCCGTGCGCTGCAATGAAGAGCCCACGTGCTACAATGAAAGATCATGCATGCCTCAACGAATATCCCACGTGCTGCAACGCAGACCCGACTCAGGCAAAAATAAAATAAAGAAGTAAATAATATATAAATCTTAAAAAAAAAAATAAAAGACTTTTTATCCTGACCCAAATATCTCCCTCTTTCTGGAAGCTCACCTATAGAGTGTCACATGCACTATCTCTCAAGGTGTACCAGCCTTAATATCCATCTTCAGGAGTGGGTTTTTATGGTCAAACTTTTTTAAAAAAATATTTTCTTTATTTTTTTGGCTGCTTGGGTCTTCGTTGTGGCGTGCGGGCTTCTCTCTAGTTGTGGCACGTGGGCTCTCTCGTTGGGGCAGCTGAGCTCAGTAGTTGTGGCGCACAGACTTCGTTGCCCTGCGGCATGTGGGATCTTAGTTCCCTGACCAGGGATCGAACCCACGTCCCCTGCACTGGAAGGCAGATTCTTTACCACTGGACAGCCAGGGAAGTCCTTGGTCCAACTTCTTAAGAGGTTTCTTCCTGATAAGTTTTATCTTCCATTTGTTCTGATCTTGCGCCTGGACTACAGGGAGTTGCTGGAGGAAACCATCCAACCTGCAGGCACTGTTGCTACCGTAGAGCTGTGAGCACCCACCTCACCAGGCCTCTTGGGCTTCTTACTGAGCAGCCCACTTATATGTTCTTCAGGAGCTTGTTTTCTTATTTCCAGAACCAGCTGTTCCAATCCTTTGTTACTCCTGAAGCTCTCACCTCCTGAGAGCCAAGCCTTCCAAGGATCCCTTTCTTCCCCTTGTGCCCCTCGGCCTCTAGAGGACCCTCCTGGTACCCACATGTTGGATCCATTCCTCTCCCCACCCTCCTTAGGAGCTTGCAGTAGAGTGTCCTGACTCAGGCCAGACTGCCACTTACTACTGGATGACCTTGGGCAAGATATTCAACCTCTCTGTGCCTCAGTTTTTTTCATTTGTAAGATGGGAATCATAGTATCTACCTTACAGGACTAAATAAGTTAGTGTGTGTAAAGTGCTTAGCATGGGGCCTGGGACAGAGTATTTATGATTGCTCTGTCATCATTCTCTCCCCTCTCTCCTCATCTTCACCCTCTCTCCCTTCTCCTCATACTGTTACACTTCTCCATCCAGTCAACATCACAGAACCATCAAACCGCCACCACATTTGTCTTCTACTCAGCTTCATCTGAAGCTAGCCTTATCTCCCTTTACTAGCAAATCTGTTGAAAGAGGGAAGAGTTGTCTCCATTCCTTCAAATCTCATTAATTCCTCCACCCATTATAGTGGGTTATATGGCTTCCCTTCTGCCCCCACCCCAAATTCTCACTGAGATTGCCATCACAAGGTCACCAGAGACCTCCTAAATGCCAAATCCAGCACGACTTTTGGTCATCCTCCTTGAGCTTTCTTGAGCGCTTGACACGGTTGTCCCCATGTTACTTTTCTTTGTACTCTTCATTACATTGACCCCTTTATTCTCTACCCAGAGCAATGCTAAGTAACATTCAGATATTACAGCCATTTTCCCAGATTTTTTACAGGGATAAATTTCAGATACAGTAGTAGTCACCTGCATACCGCCTTTCCGTGTCCCTCCATTTCAGAAGTAAGCACTTTCCTTAATTTGGTGTTTCTCATCCCAACGCATGATTTTATACAATTAATACAAATGTATGAATCCACAACCAATATAGAACATGTTTTGCATATAATTAAATTTTATACAAACAACAATCTATGACTTCTTGAAAAGCTGGGTTTTTTTTAAATTTTATAAATTTATTTATTTATTTTTGGCTGCGTTGGGTCTTTGTTGCTGTGCGCGGGTTTTCACAGGTTGCGTCCAGTGGGGGCTACTCTTTGCTGCGGTGCTCGGGCTTCTCATTGTGGTGGCTTCTCTTGTTGCGGAACACAGGCTCCAGGCACGCGGGCTTCAGTAGTTGCAGCACGTGGGCTCAGTAGTTGTGGCTCGCAGTCTCTAGAGCGCAGGCTCAGTCGTTGTGGCACACGGGCTTAGTTGCTCCGTGGCATGTGGGATCTTCCCGGACCGGGGCTCAAACCCGTGTCCCCTGCATTGGCAGGCGGATTCTTAACCACTTCGCCACCAGGGAAGTCCCCGAAAAGCTGTTTTTAATAGCACAGACCATGCAGTGTTAATCCAGGGTGTCGGTCCAGGATGCTTGACCAGACAGTGTCAGACACATACTTTGGGTCTCACATCAGCTTTCTTCAGCATGCAATTAGGACTTTTGAGAATGCTTTATTCTTGCATGGGGCACTTTGCAGTCTGTCTAGGTGGTTTTTTTTTTTTTTTTTTTTTTTTTTTTTTTGGCAGTACGCGGGCCTCTCACTGTTGTGGCCTCTCCCGTTGCGGAGCACAGGCTCCAGGCGCGCAGGCTCAGCGGCCGTGGCTCACGGGCCCAGCCGCTCCGCGGCATGTGGGATCTTCCCGGACCGGGGCACGAACCCGTGTCCCCTGCATCGGCAGGCGGACTCTCAACCATTGCGCCGCCAGGGAGGCCCCTGTCTGGGTGTTTTATGTTCGGCTTTCACCCTCATAAAAGATGGCTCTTTTTAATTTTTTTTTTACTTCCATTCTCTTTTTTATTGTTGCATTCCTGGTTTTCTTCCTACTTAAAGGTTTTTTCTGGGCACTTCACTGGGTCTTCTTTTGTGTGTCCCTTACTTGTGGGGAATTTTTAAAGGATGGTTCTTGGTCCTCTTCATTCTCCCGCAGGTGACCCCATCCATCCCCATAAGGTCAGCTCTCATCAGTAAGAGGGAGATTCTGAAATCCAGTCTCCAGCCCTAAGTGTGGTGCTGCACGTGTTTACCTGCACGTCCTCCAAGCCCCCCCAACTTGTCTTAACTCTGTATCTTTTCCTATGAACCTGCTCTACCACCTGTTTCTTTAATGCGTCAGTGTCCACCCATCATCCACAAAGTTGCCTCTCTCCTTGACGTGGGCTGTGCCTCTCTGTCTGTACCTTTGCAGACTGCCACTGCCCTTGCTTGGAATACAGACCGTTTCCTACTCAGGTCCTACTCAGGTCATCTCCCACACCCCTCACCAGTCTGTCCACACTGTTCCCAGAGTAACTGATCACAATGCAAGACAGATCATCCTCGGCTTCTTAAAAACCTCACACACACTCCCTTTCCTGCCTTATTGGGTTGTCTGCAGGACCCTCCCAGGCTCCTGAGATTGCAGGGCCCAGCCTGTCTTTCCTGCCTGTCTCCTAACTCTGTCCCTAGGCCTCCTCCTCCCTTGCCTCCGTGATCTCCTCACCCTTCCCTGCACACCGAGTCTTCTCACAGCTCTGTGCCCTTGTTCATGCCCTTCCCTATGCCAGGAATGCCGTTCCCTTTGCTACATTCCTCATCCTCCAAGACTCAGCTCACATGCATCGCCCCCTGTCACCCCCCCCCCCCCCCCCCCCCCCCCCCCCCAACCCCTGTGCTCTTGTGCTGTCATCGGTGCGTTACTACCTTGCAATCCCACTGGCTTGGGTTGCATTTGATCCGTTTGCAGGTCTGTCTCTCCCAGGCTTGGCCTGACGGGGCTCAAGGTCAGAGACCTATCGTCTGACTTTGTGGCTTAGGGTCTGCCCAGCAAATGCTGGATGATTGGTGGCTTCAGGCCTGTCAGCCTAGCCATGCCTGCCTACCCCCTGCACACGAGTCCCTGGGTTAAAGTCATGGAAGCCGTTTTTTCACCCCTCAAGGGGACAGCGGGTCACATTAGGAAGGGGAGAGAGGTGCTGCCCAACATGTTCACCGAATAGGGCAGCCCGTCCCAGGGACCAAAATGCTATGTAGAAGCCAAATGCAGGGAATAGGGTCTCTGCTCAGCCTTGAACTGCCTCCCACTCACCTTGTATCACCACAGCCAGTACCCTCCCACCAGTAGAAAACGCTGCACTTCAACAGTTTGCCCTCTCCCCTCCCCTCCCCCATCCTCGCTCACCCCTTGTCCCCTCCCTCCTCCCCGTAATAACTACCTTCCTCACTCAGTGCTCTGGCATATCAGTTATTTCCATCTCTAACCCCTGGAGTTGAGCAAGGGCCAAGGTTACTGTTCCCATTTCACACATGGAGAGCAAGTCCTGGGAGGGGTACAGTGGGTTGGGACCAAGGTTAGGACCAGGGGGTCCTTCCATGCAAGGAGAGTGTGGAGGCAGCCTGAAGCCCCGCTTATCTCCCATGAGGGGACACCCAGACCCCCTTTAGAGAGTGCCTTGTCAGTGGGGAGAGCTGAGGGGCAAGAAGGATCCCGGGGAGGGTTAGGAGTGTGGGCCCAAAGCCTGTGACCAGCCTCTACCTGGGACTTCTCGAGGGGGAGAGACAGCAGTGCACATAGGCCACGGGGACCATCTGGTCATTTCCCTGACGTCAGGTCAGGAGAGTGAGCCCGGCTCCTGAGAGGGCAGGGGTGGCGGTGTTGAGGGGAAGGGCCCAGGGAAGGGAGGACCAAGGAAATGGCACATGGAGCCCCATTTGCCCCTAGAGCTGCTCGGAAGCCAGGCAGGTACAAACGTGGGGAGAGATGGTATCAGAGGGAAGGTGCCTGGTGTTCATTCAGCACACACGTTAGTGCCCCTTGAAGGGGGTGCTCCGCGAGAAAGGGCTCAGCGCCCCGCCTCCAGGAGCGCTTGGACCTCTCATGAGAATGTCTGACTTAGAAATGACAGATCTCAGGTCCAGCTGGCACAGGATTGGCCCGCCCCCCTCTGTGGCAGCAGGGGGTGGCGAGGCGGGGAGTTCCTAGGAGTGGCTCTACCAGCGAGAAAAAGGCGGCAGCGGAGTGGAGGACTGGAGCAGGGGGCCATGTGGGGCAGAGACACCCGGGGAGCCCCCTTGGAGGGGCCTGGCCGGCACACCCATTTCCATCACTTGGTTTGGGTTCTCCGTATTTCTGTGGGTTTCTGACAGCGGCTGGTGAGTTTTCAGAAAAGGGAAGATGGCCGGAGACACACCAGGTTTTAATACCCATCCAACCTGTCCCCCAGGCCACCTCCCTCTGCCTGACATGTTCTGTCTCCCACCTCAGCATCCACACGGCACCCATCTGCCTCCCTCCCGGGATGTGGGTGACCCTCCTGGGCCTTGGCCACCACTCCTGAGGACTTTAAACAGAGGGAGGGCATCCCTGTCCACAATATCAGAGGGTTGGACTAAGAGGATTAAAACAGTTGGGGGGAGGGGCTTTGGCCCCCATCATCAGACCCTGCATCTGAGGCCTAGAGGCCTGTGGCTGGGGTGATGAGTAGGGAACCAGTCCCAGGCCCTTCTGTCCCCTGCAGCAGGGAGGACGTATGTCTGCTGGGGGCAGATGTTCATTCTCCTGAGGCGGCTAGGGCTGGGGACACATGGCGTTCAGGAGGTGCATATTTGGGGCTTTAGTGGCTTCTGTGTAGCGCTTCGGAAGCCTTGAAGGCCACGCACCCCCAATGACTTCGGCTGTGGACAACACGGCCAACCACTCTCCCCGCCAAAGAAACCCCTGATTCATGCCCAGTGCACGCCTTGTGCCTGGGGGCCCCAGGTCAACAGATGTGTTAGCCCAGGTGGTCTCAGACACTGACAAAGGCGTATTGAACAGAAAAGAAGGGGGAGAGATGGGCAAGATGGCTTTGGGCCTGGGGGAGGGCGGTGAGCTTGCTCTGGTGACCTGGAGACCTCTGCCCCCATCCAGCATCCTATCCTGGTGGGGTAGCAGCCACCACGGGTTCCAGGGCCAGAGAAGGGTACTTGGGGCTGAGGAAAGCCAGGGGACGGGGTCCAAGCCGCGCCAGGAGCCTGAACTGGATGGAGGTGGTAACTTCCCAGGCTGAAGATCCTCACGTGGTCCCGCAGGAGAGTAAGTCAGGGGCCTCCCAGGGGTCCAGGTGGGCAGCCCATCCCGTGAGCCTGAGGACCTCTCCCAGGGAAGCGTTCTGACTTTAAGGGCACACCAGGGCTCCAGGATCAACGTGGAAGCTTCTGTTCTTGCTTCTGTCCCCAGAGTGTCCCTTCATCTCGGGGAGCTCGCTTTGAACCCTCCTGATGCCAGAGCCAGATGGACCCAAAGGTAACTTACTGGTTTTCCTTAGAATGGCTGAGGCAGCCTTGCATTTTCAAAAGGAAGTTTGTTAGTATTGAAAAAGACAAACTGGAGATGACAGAAAATGCAGCTGTCTAATTTCTAAAGCAAGACTTCTGCTCTCACAGTCCTCCAGCTCCGGCCCGGGCCAGGGCAGCTGCGTGGCCCTCTGCCTGAGCTGGAGTCCCGGAGCCCCTGCCTGTCTCCACCTGCCATCATGCTCTGTGCTTTGGGGACATCATCTGGGACACACGACTCCAAGCCAAGACGCTTTTCTCTCCCTGCCACCCACCTGGCTCCTGCAGATGTCCCTTGTCCGGTTGGTTGAGGGACCCTGTGCTGGCAACAGTCCAGGGAGTGACCCTGTCCCTCCAGCCCAGAGCCTGGCAGTCTTCCCTCCTGTGGTACCGCAGCAGGGCCCCCGTCCTGAGAGGGCCTTCCTGGTCAGCCCTCCTCCGAGATCTCCAGCGACACCTCTGCCTATAGCCTCTCTGCGGCCACCACCTTCCCAGAGGGCACATGGCGCCAGGCAGAGGGCTGGTAGGTGCTCTCGTCGCTGGTGGAGGCCTGCCAGCCCTGGGTGAGGCCCAGCAGGGCCCGGCCCTGGCAGAGGAAGTTGGGGTTGGAAAAGCAGTAGAGCATGGGGTCCAGGGCACTGTTGAGGTAGGTGAAGGCCAGGGAGCCATGGGAGAGCTGCGAGCAGATGTCCAGGGTGCAGCAGGCGTGCAGGCGGAAGGCCACGATGGAAGCTTTGCCGAAGATGATACTGCACAAGATGCAGACTGCGTAGATGGCCACGACCGCGGCCAGCATGCGTACGGCCCTCCGCGGGCCTGCCTGCACGTCCGGGCCTCGGCGCCAGGTGGTGAGCATGATGTTCGTGATGGCAAAGAGGATGAGCGCCAGCGGCAGGAAGAATTCCAGCACGAACAGGGCCTGGTGCCAGGGCAGTGAGGCCGAGGGGCTCGTGCCCAGCTGGTAACTGAGGCAGGAGCGGCTGGAATCGGTGGTCGGGAACAGGTGCCCGTTGAGGAGCAGGATGCCCCCCCACAGTCACCCGGCCCCCCGGGCGGCTGCCCACACGGAGGCCCTGCTCAGCACGTGCTGAGGCTGCACCACCTTCAGGTAGCAGTCGAGTGAGACGGCCGCGAGGGAGACCGTGCTCGCTGAGCGGTTGGTGGCGACCATGAAGAGGTTGACTTTGCAGGCAGTGGCCCCGAAGCGCCAGGTCTCGTGGAGGAAGTAGTAGTCCACGCGAAGAGGCCGGTTGACGATCAGGAGAAAGTCGGCCACCACCAGGCTGACCAGGAACACAGTGTTGGATGTCCAGGGCCGCGCGTGGAAGCAGCAGAGGAAGAAGGCCAGGCTGTTCCCCACCAGGCCCAGGACAAATTCCACGCTCAGGACTGGCGCCAGGAAGGCAGACACCATCAGGGAGGAGGCCGGGTGGCAGGGAGCCGGGGCCTCTCCAGGTGACCCCAAGGCAGTGGTGAAGGCAGAGGGCGAGGAGGAGGGAGGGAGTGAGGAGGGAGAGAGGGAAGGAAGGGAAGAGGGAGAGCTCAGGTTATGAAATTCCATGGGCTGCTTGCGCCGTGGGTCTGAGAGACGTTTCTACCGTCATCCTACCCCCGCACGAGAGTGTTCAAGGATTAGTGCTTGCTATCAGCCGGCCACCGCGATGACTCAGTATCCTGGGGTTTTCCTCAGCATCCTCGCAGCCACTGAGAAACGCTGTGTTCCTATTTGCAGGCAAAGTGGAACCCTGCAGCCTGCCCTCCCTCCCTCCCCGCCTCCCCCGCATACCGAGTGGCCTGCGTGTGAGGTCTCTAAGCTCGGCCTCCGTTGGAATCTGCATTGCCCCTGGCAGAGGAGGATGCAGGGCTCATCAGGGTGAGTGGAGGCTCAGAGAAACCCTGAAGTGGGAGGAAGGCCCAGCTGGGGTGAGGTTGGGGAGAGTGTTCACAGCCCTGAGTGGTCAGACATTGGCCTGCCTGAAGGCAGGAGCTTGTCCTGGCAACTCAGAGCCCTCCGGTTCATGCAGACCACCCTGGACCCCTCCCACCCCATCATAGACGCAGACTGGGTGGCTGCCTCCCTGCCCCCACCAGCTCTGGCAGCAGGGACTGTGGAGCCAACAAGACATCGTCCTGGGAGAGGGAGGCGGGAGTCCAGTCAACACCCTGACCGTCGTGCTCACAGCCTGGTGAGAACAGCCTGCTGTACATCCGCCAGCCTGCTGTCGTTACTCCCAGATTCCTGATGCTTCCAAAGTCTGTGATGGTCCCAAGTCCACATCCGTGATGAAGTACATCCCACAGGCAGAGGGCTCCCCTGCCACGGCCTGGGGACATGGGGGCTTCTCCCACAAACAGAACAATCTTGAGAGTCCTCAAGGTTCCCTGCCACTGTCCACCCCACTTAGCCGGCCATCACCCAGTACTCCCTGCGGAGAGGGGAGTGGGGAGCTGTGGCTGGCTTCAGATAAGGTACGAGTCCTGCTCCCCTCTGCGTGGTATTCTCATGAGCCCATGGCACCAGGCCTGTGGGCAGAGATGAGGGCCCGGGGCTCCTGGTAACCTGGGACAGCACCAAGAGAGGCTGTGCTTCCAGGCTCCAGGATCTGACACGCCCCGCCCCCTTGCCTCCATGCCAAACGGCTGTGGTCAGCAGGGCGCTGCGTGCTGCCAACTCTGAGTCTCTGGGTTTCAGACGCAGTGGCCGTTGGCCCCTCTCCCACAGATCCTCCAGGGCTTTCCACTGCCCTGGGCTCCCGCTGGCCAAGGCTGAGGGCAGATAGGCCATAACCACGGGGTGCAGGCTGGTGGGACCACCAGACTGAGCTTTGAATACAGACAAGCCTGGGCTGGAAACAGAGCTGCCTGCTTTCCAAATCTCTCTGAGCCTCATCTGTAAAATGGGGTGCTGCCACCTTCTTGGAGAGTTGTAAGGATTAAATGAGGTCATATATGTGAAAACATCTAGCAAATTCCCTGGCACAGAGTCGGTGTTCAGAAAAACGAGAGATCTAACTTTCGTGATTTTCTGTCTTTGATTAGGCCCACGCTTGGCACTAGGGGGCCCTTCTCGTGGCCACGTGCACCCTGCCCAGGGGGCCTCCCTGGGACATTCGTGTGTTCTGTCCTCAGCTCCTGTACAGAGAAACACATCACTGCAGCCCGAGCACACGCCCAGCCTCTGCCCTCACTGCCCTGAACTGGTGGAAGCTTAGGGGGAGGCTGGTGGTGTTTCTTCATTGCCTGTAGGAGAGGAAATCCTCTAGAGCGGTAGGTGGGTGAAGGTCCCGACATCCCTCAGGGCCGGAAGTCCTTTCAGCAAAGTCAGGGTCTCCTTTGCCGTTGTCAGTGGAGGGGATCAAAGCAATGAGCCGGCAGGCTGGGGCGGGGGAGGCAGGGTTCAGACCCAGGTTTTCTGGAGGAAGCGCTGACTCTACCCAGGGACCTGTTTCATCCAGATCCAGCTTCAGTTCCCCCCACGTGCGACCCCTCACCAACTTCTCATTGAAGCCCCATGAAACCGAGCCCAGATCTCCCTCTGCAGGTTGCATGATTCGTCTCTACCCATTGCTGCGTCCCGGGCTCCCAGCACTCCTGGACCCCACGGGGGCCTGTACATAGCAGGGGGGAGAAGGGGGAGGAGGCCAGACAGCCCTCCCCCGCTGCTGCCAAGCTCCTGAACAGCTTTACGCCCCTCTGAAGGCCCATCACAATGTCTGTGTATTAACTGTGGTTAACTCCAGCTGGGGGGATTTTGTGTTTTTAGTATTTCTACGTTTTCTACAATGAGCACAAGTCACTTCAGTTACTGGGGAGAGAAACCTCAACAGATGCTATATTTTAAAGTTATGTAAAAAGAGTAAGTGAGAAAGAGAAAGAGGCAGAGGGACATCAGCTGTGCCGCAGGACAGGCATAGGAGCTCGCATGGAGGCGCCACACACAGAGCATGAGGGCTTCTCTACAAGCAGGGGGACCCGATCACAGACCCTCCACGAGGTCCACGGTCACCCAGCGCTCCAGATCTCCCTCCCCCCTGCACACGCACACAGTCATGGGAGCACCAGGTGTCTGGCAAAGATCACAGGCTGTGTGTGTGCAGACCCGGAGGTGCCCGTCTGTCAGGAAGCCTTTACTAAGGACCTTTTGGGCAGCAGGCAGGTGCTGTGCTGAGCCTGTGGACAGAGGGATGGAGAGGACCCTGGCCTCAGGGAGCAGTCCGCCCGGCAGAACCCTGCAGGGCAGTGGGCTGAAGGCTGTTAGGGGTGAAGGAGAGCTAGGCCCCCAGGAACCTGGCAATCCTGGAGAGGACAGGAGGAGGATGGATGGCAGTGATGTCCAGGACCCGGCCCAGGAGACGCTGAGTCACTCGGCAGCAGTGCACGTAGAAGTGGTGGGGCTGGGAGGGTTACTCGGCAGGGGTGGCGCTCGGGGGCACCCTGTGGCAGCTCTGGGCCCGCAGCATGAGGATAGGTCACCCCAGGGGCTTCTTGCGGGCAGGGTCCTGAGTCACAGACAGGGCCGTGGAGCCTTGCCCTCGTTCCCAGCTGTACCTGTGGCGACACAGGTGGGCGGGGCTCAGACAAGGCTGGGATCCCAGGGAAAGGTGGGCAGTCCCACAGTTGGGGGTAAATCCTCCCCGGGTACTCACGTGGTCCCAGCTGGCACCAGGAGGCTGTCATCGGGGGTCAGGCTCAGGCGCTGTCCTTCCATCGTCACCACCGAGGAGCCCTCCTAGGAAAGAGGAATAGGAGAAACAAATGGAGGCTGTCAGGCCGCGGCACCTGTCCGAGCGTCCCTGGGTCAGCCTTGGCAAGGAGGCCCGGGAGCCGGTCCGGGCTGTGGGCACCCCAGGAGCAGCTTGGTCCTCACGGGCAGGCAGGAGGCTGTGCCCCCCCCCCGCCCCCCCCCCCGGGCCCACTTGCCAACTGCCACAGCCACACGTCCACGTCCTGTCTCGGGCCTTCGCTGCTGCCTTGTCCACAGACCATCACCTGCGGGGAAGTGACACGGAGCTTTCCGGCACATCCTGCCTCACGTGGGAGATGGCCTTGAACCTGGCCCCGAGACACCAGGCCTGCGTGGGGCAGGGATGGGGCCCGCAACACAGCCTCATTTCCAGGTGCGGAGCAGACAGCTGGCCTTGGAGAGGAAGGCTGCCCAGGCCACAGGGCCCCCTGGCCACCTGCTGTTGGGGATCACACGTGCCTGCCCTCCACATCCACCTACATTTCTGGCGCCTCGGATGCACGACACAACTACTGCTGACCCATGTGGAGGCACGCCTACCAGGGGCACACGAGGCACGTGTGTGTACATGGCACAGTGCAGATGCACGTAGCACACACGCATGAACTCCCCAGAGGATGCCCACCTCCCTTCCCCGTGAGAGGTTAGGAGTCTGGCCTAAGGAGGAGGAGGAGGGAGGTGGGAGGGGATGAATGAGAGCGAGAGGGAGGCCGAGCACCTCTGACCTGCATCAGCTGGAACCCACAGCTGCTGTGCAGGCCACGCTCCCAGCGGCCCGGAGTGGGTGGGACTCAGTAGATGTTGGCTGGAGTGAACTGAAGCAGGGAGAAGGAGGGGTGTGAAAGAATGGGGTGGGAGGGGCGTGGTGGGGCGCGCCGGCTCTCACAGCCCTGTGTAAGCTCAGGGCTCGGCTGGCTGGGCCTTTTAGGGCAGGTTTGCATCCAGTGATCATCCCTCCACGGGGGTATCTAATTCAAACTCCAAGGGATGTACCAGTGGCAAACGGTAAAGCACAAGTGAACGTGAGCCTCCTGTCAGGTCTCCTCGTTGCCACACTTGCCCTCCTGATCCAGTCCTCACTCAGGCTACAGTGATCTTTCTGAAACACCACTGTAGCCTGGTCAGCCCCCTGCTCCCCGCTTCAGCACTTGGGTGAAGCTCTCTTGTTTCCAGGATTCGTCCTTGCCCCTTGCCCAGCCCAGGAGAGCTGCTAGCATGTGGGCACTGCCTGCTACTTTGGCCATCTACCAATTGTATCTGCTGCCCCCACTCCCCTGTCCTGGTTCCCCAACATCAGCTGTTTGCAATGTCAGCCTGTTTCAAGCCTCCATGCCTTTGCTCAGGCTTCTCCTTCACCTGGAATGGGCTCTCCATCTCCCTGTCTTCCTTTTGCAAACTCCTACAATAGCTTTAAAACTCAGCCTATATATCACCTCCTCCAGGAAGTCGTCCCTGACTTCCCTCACAGCTTGGTTCTTCCTTTATCCTCCTATGGCTTCCTGTAGCTTCTCTACCAAAGAATGTATCACATGATCGTGGCAATTGTTGATTAACTTCTCCATTTACTAGACCATACACTCTCTGAGACAGTGACTCTATCTTATTTTCCTACTAAAGCCTGAAACATAATAGGCACTCAATAAATGTTGAATGGAAGGAGGCAAGCCTTGTTTGGGTCTCTCTCTGTGCAACTCTCCACCCAACCCTCACCCCCAAATATCTCTTTCCCTTCTGGCTGCCAAGGCTATGATTGGCCAGAGGCCCAGGAAATCCTGGCAGGGAGATGACCCCAGACCCCCAGGAATCTCTCAGTGGATGCGGCAACCCCCTACTCCGAAGGCAAAGAAAGATTGCTGGGGACCACATAACCTCCATGGGCTTCCACTCACAGCAAAGCCATCATTCTCAGAGTCAGGGAGGAAACAAGAAGACCTATGCTTGTGTCCACAACCTCCAAGACTGGCATGTGAGTGTGTGTGTGTATGTGTGTGTCCATGTGTAATTAGTTCCCATCTCCCGGGGCTGCTGGGCAGATGCCCTGGGTGGCCCAGGGCTGTGTTACCTGGGTCTCATAGGTGTCTCCAAACAAGCTGAGGGGTATGCCAGCGTGCAGCTCCTTGCGGTGGCCAGCCAGCCAGGCCTCCAGCGACATGGGCTCCATGACGGACCGTGTGCTCAGGGGGAATGGCGGTTCCTTGAGCAGCTGGTCTGCACCCACAGCACAGCTGTGGTCAGCGTCCTCTGGCCCCGCCGGCCCCGCCCCAGAGGGCCCAGTTCCCAGGGGTCCCAGCTCCCAATGGCTGGAATGGGCTCTGGCTCCAGCTCAAGGACCAAGCAGCCATGGGGGGTACTATTTGGTGCCATCCTCTTGTGCCTGGGGTACAGGGCAGAGCACTCAAAGGGAGACTCCCTGCTTACCCAGAGCCAAGACCCGCCCTCCTCCGGAAAAGGAGGGAGGGGGAAGGGGAGAAAGATGGTTCCTAGTCGCCTTACCGGGGTTGGGTTTTCCTGTTCTGTGCTGCTCAGAGCTAAGGAACCTGCAGGCACAAAGGGGGAAGAGTAGTGGCTAGTGAGACGCGCGCGCACGCGCGCGCACACACACACACACACACTCATACACTCCGGGGTGCAGGAGCCCACACACACTCATGGTGCCCTCACACAATTTGTTGTATATCCACCATCCTTTCCCTCCCCTCCCCAGGGGGCTTTCCACCCTGGGGAGGGGCAGACTTTCTCCCTAAATCCTGGACTTGATAGCTCCAGGCTGGCAGGTACTGCCGAGGAGCACTGCTGGGCTGGGTCTGCTCTCCCCAGCCAGAGCATGGGGCCTCAGGAGAGCGAGGGGCAGGGGCTGGGCTGGGGGGCTCACTCCTGGATGATGGGGGCCAACTGTGTGCCGAGATCCTCGCAGTAGAACCACTTCTCAAACAGGACGTCAGTGGTGTCGCCTACGTAGTACCTGCCAGAACAAAAAGTGGGCACCCAGCTCCCCACCTGGACGTCCTCAGGGCAGCCTCCCTCGGGCCTGGCTCTGCTCGTGATTGGCCGGGCCCAGGCTGGCCCTACAGAGCTGACGGCCTGCTTCATCCTGTTAGCGCAATCTAGTGGCCGATGCACGCTCACCCACACTCGGCTCTCCCAGGAGCCCCCGTGTGGCCCCAACGTGGGTGGGCTATTACCGACCCCGTTCCCATAGCTCTTACTGGTTCCCCAAACTTGACCATTTACAAAGTAGATAGAACTCCGCGGTTCAGGGAGAAGCTGGGTAACTTGGCAGGGATTACACAGCCTCTAAGTGGCAGAAGCAGGGCAGACTGGAGACAGTCTTAGAAACACAGCATCAGTGACAAATGCTTTTCCAAAAGGGGAAGCTGAGGCTGAGCCTGATCGGGGCCCTAGTGTGCTGGCACTCTAGGTCAGAGCACGTGCTGAAGACGTCCCCCAGATGAGGGGGTCCTTCTTCTGGGGTCATGGATGGCTCTGAGAACTGGAGCAAAGCGCTGGGCCTCTTCTCTGGAGGAAGGTCCATACGCCTGTACACATAGCCTCTAGTAGACTCCCTGAGGCCCACCCAGGCCCGCAGCCCGGCCTGGCGTGCGGCTCCACTGGCCTGAGGAGCGCGGGACAGACCGGGGCTGGGCCTCAGGGCCCTGTGTATGCAGCACATCTACTGACTGAATGCCTAATCCCCAAGCTTAGCTCCCAGTGCCGGGCCAGCTCTGCTCTTCGGCTCCTCCTGAAAAAGAGAAGTGGTCCTGCTTATGGGCGATGGTTTGTAGACACACAGTGCATCCACCCTGCCTGACACCCTAAGTTCTATCCTGGGATGGAGCTGGCCACTGGAAAGCCTCATAACTGGACCTCGATGCCCTCCAGGAACTGCCTTCAGAGTGGCATTTTAATGTTGAGCCCCTGGCTTTTATTAAAGGTCAAAAGCAGCCAGATGAAATCTGTTATTGAATTTGCTGTAAAAGTGTTACTGAAGACGCCGTCCTCTCCATCACTGAAGACTCCCCATATAAAGCCCCATGTCAACAATTTATTTTCGAATTTAAGGCCAGGCAGCTATTTCTACAACAGACTATTCTGCAGTAGATTAGTATGCAGTCATTAACATGGCGTTTTTTTGCAAAGCATTGAATAGCATGAGAGATACTCATGAGTTTTTTTATGTAAAAAAAAAAAACAAAACTGAAACCCATGCTTGCAATAAGACTGCAATGTTGTAAGGTGTAGATATGCAGAGAAGAAAGATGAGATGGACATCTAAGTGCTTTGTTAGCTTTGATTGGCGGGATGACTTTTTTCCGCTTGTTTTCTCTTTATTTTGTTTTATTGACACATCATTCACACGCTATCCAATTTCCCTTTTACCTGGCAAGTCATTTTAATTTTGTTCATTTTGCTCTCTTGTACTTTTCCAGATTTCCAGATTGATCATGCATGACTTTGGTAATTAGGAAAAAAGGGAAGAATTTTTAAAATGTCCATTATAACACAAGATGTGGACATTTTTAAAATGTCCATTATAACAAAGTTTTCTGATTTCAGTAACTTGCTGGGAAATTCTAATTTTCTTAGTTAAAAAATAGCTTAGCTTTTGGAAAAATCTGGGTCCCCCTGAACCACAGGCTGAGTCCTCCTTTCAGAGGATAATAATCGGGTGACTGAATGGAACAAGATGGGAACTCTGTTCTAGAAAACTGCTATAGAAACAGAGCACCCATCTCTGCACCCATATTCGTCCCCTCCTTGGTGTTTACTCACACTCCCATCTAGGCTATCCCGGCCCTAACGTCATATTTCTCTATAATGCCAGCTCGGCCACTTTCTAGCAAACTCAACTTCCCCGGGCCCAGTTTCTTCATCTGTAAAGTACATAACGGTACCCACCGGATAGGATCGGTACCCACCGGATAGGATCATTGTGAGGGTTAAAGGAATAAATACACATAAAGCGGTGCCCAGCACACAGTAAGTGTTATTCAAACGTCAGGGCTGGGTGTGGAATGAGCTGGGGTAGAGAAACAAGAAGAGGGGCGCACTGGCAGAGACTCAGCTCTGGGGTGGGAGGCACTGTTCCGGGCTGCCCTGGGCCAGGTGGGTTTGACTTTGGCATCCATCCCCCTGCCCTTCCCCAGCAGACCTCAGTGCAGAAAGCACAGGTTCTGGGTCTTCCCTGGCGGTCCAGTGGTTAAGACTCCACGCTTCCACTGCAGGGGGCGTGGGTTCAATTCCTGGTCGGGGAACTAAGATCCCACATGTTCTGGGCCCAGCCAGAAGGTGTCAGGCTGATGGGCTCCCAGGCGGTCACAGAGAACACCCCGCCTCCCTGGCATCATCAGACCCACCCTCCCACCTACCCCAATCCCTCCCCATCAGCCAGCAAATGCAGGATCCCCATTGCCACCAACCCTCTCGGTGGCTGAGTGGCTTTCTTGGGTCTATCTAGGATCCTGCTGCTTCCCTCCCATCTCTGCGCCAGACCCCCAGACCAGGCCCATTTACCTGAGTGCATCTAGCTCCGTTTTCAGCCGCCTCCGCTCAATCACCAGCCCCACTGTGTTGGCAAACCTCTGTGGAGAGTGGGGGACCCCAGCGGGCAGGAGGAAGATCTGCAGGGGTGGGGACAAGGTGCCAGCCCCCCACGGAGGCCTCAGTGCTGCAGCGTCCCAGGCCTCCCCAGCTGACCACAGTCCAGCCCAGCCCCCTCTCTTCCAAACCTCCACCCGGGAACTAGAGGAGATGTCAGGCTGTGCTGAGATGGACAGCCTTGAGGAGGAAGTGCCTGAGGACGGGGCCAAGGCAGGCTGGGCAGGTAGGAGGGCAGGAAGAGGCTGGGAGCACAAGACCACCACAAAAGCCAGGAGAGGGGACATGCTGGGGTCCTGTTCTGGGGCCCAGCCTTACCTCTCCCTGCCGAATGACCACATCCCGGTGTCTCCCTTGCTCCAGGACTTGGAGAAGCATGTCGCCTTCCAGCTGGTAAAACACCTGTGGCAAAGGACAGCAGACAGGCTTGGACCCTCCCCAGTCCCTCTTCCAGGTCTTTGGCCTGAGTTCTGACCAGGAAACCTGAGGAACTTCCTGAAGGCCTCAGGGTTCATGAGCACCTTGGTCACTCTCACATGAGGCCCCAGCCTCCCCTGACACAGGCCACAGATAAAAGGGCTGGGGACACATGAGGATCATACCTTGACATTAAAGTGATGACCAAAGTACCCAGGACGTAACAGTTGGTGTCTGGCTTGAGGGCAGGAGGCTGGCTGAGACGCTTAGCGGACAATTCAGGGACCCATCAGCCAGGTAAGGAGAACTACCCATTCACTGCATCCTAGGGGCTGGGCGAGCACTTTCCTATACGGACAGGCTGTGTTTTATTGTGCTGCGCTTTATTGCGCTTCCCAGATACTGCGTTTCTTTTTTTAATTGAAGGTTTGTGGCAACCCTGCATTGAGCAAATCTATTGGTGCCATTTTCCCAACAGTATTATTTCTAAGTTAAGGTATGTATACTGTTTTTAGACATAATGCTATTGCACACTTAATAGACTACAGTATAGTGTAAACATAACTTTTACATGTAGTGGGAAACCAAAAAATTCATGTGACTCACTTTATTGCAATATTTGCTCTCTTTCAGTGGTCTGGAACCGAACCTGCAATATCTCTTAGGTATGCCTGTACATTATCAGAAATCTTTGTGACAACCTCCAAAAATATTATGAGCCCCATTCTGCAGAAAAGAAAAAAGGGAAACTGAGGCTCAGAGAGTGAAGCAACTTGCCTAAGGTCACACAGTTAGTCCTGGAGCAGCAGTTTGGACCTGAGTCTGAGTGTAGCTCTGGAGCCAGTGCTAGCTCCTCTGGCCACAGTGATGCCCTGGAATGGGGCTATGCTGGTCCAAATCCCTCTGGGGGTCGACTGGACACATAAATGGCCATGTAAATGGTGGACTTGATGCTGGAAGCTGGGATGAGTTGGGGGCTCTGGGGATGGAAGCACTCGCCCCCTGCTGTCTCCCTGGGGCGGGGAGCGGGTGCCGCAGGGCTCCTACCGCATTTTCTTATTCCATCCTAAGTCCCTAATTAACGTGTTTACTGAGATTACCCATGGCACTGGGAGGAGGAGGAGGAAGACACATTTTCTCTTTACCAGTCACACATTGCACGGGTGTTAAGAGCCCCAGCCAATAGCTGAAGAGGTGTTATTAGTAATAATTATTACTATCGTGTAAGGAGTTAGAGGAGATAGAGGTTCTTGTCCCAGAGTCTACTAAAAGAAATCAAGTGAGCTCAGGGAAACTAGAGAAATGTGGCTTTACAGTCTGACATGAGGACAAGCTGACACAACCCCTCTGAAGGGCAATGTGGCAAAGGGCAGGAAGAGCCTTCACAGCTCACACCCCTGTAAGGGTTTCTTGGGATGCAGGACCTTCCACGCTGAAACTGTCAAAGTCCAGGGAAAACCAGGACAGTTGGCAACCTTACAGCTTGTCCTAGTCATTCCATCTCTAGGAAAGTGGCTGCAGTGAATCAGAAATGCACCTGGCTCGGAACTTCCCTGGCGGTCCAGTGGTTAAGACTTTGCCTTCCAATGCAGGGAGTGCGGGGGTTCGATCCCTGGTCGGGGAGCTAAGATCCCACATGCCTTGCGGCCAAAAAACCAAAACATAAAAACAGAAGCAATATTGTAACAAATTCAATAAAGACTTTAAAAAAAATGGTCCACATAAAAAAAAAAATCTTAAGAAATGCACGTGCCTCATGGCCGACGTACATGGCTGTTTTATCACAGCACATGGTAATTAAAGGCATAGCATCCAGTGTCACCTGGCCCTCAGCTCGGCCAGGTCACCGTGTACTTTTGGCCAATTCAGTTAGCCTTTCTGTGCCTCATTTCCTCATTTATAAAATGACAGTATCTACTCAGAATGTTGCTGTGAAGTGTGCCCAGGATGCTGTACACAAAGGTACCCAGCACTTAGTTATTAATATTAGCTATTACTAGCTATTAATATTAGTGATGGAAGGGATAGCAAAAATAATGCTAATAATAGCAGTAGGAGAAATGGCACTATTTTATGATAGAGACAAAGTAGAGAACATTATGCAGCCATTAAAAACGATGTCTCTGAATAACCGTTAATAAAATGGGAAAATACTAAAGTTATCATATGAAAGCAAGATTCAGAGCTACACCCAGCAGGTTTCTAATTATGTAGCCATACATGTATAATCCAGGCAGTGTTCACCATGGCATCCCTGAGTGGTGGGATTATGAATGAGGTATACATTTACGTTTGTCTTTCCTATATTCTGCACGTTTTCTACAATAAACAATATTTACTTTTATTATTAAAAATAATTCATGCAAGTTATTTAAAACAAATAAGAAAAAACTTATCAGGCTCTTCTAGGGAGCAATTCTGCAAACTACCCCCAAACCCTCCTCAGCTGGGAGGAAGCCCCTATGTGTTTGTAGATGTGGGAGGTGTCCTTCCATGGTTATGGGGAGAGGAGGAAAGGCCTAGAGAATTCTAGGGAGGGGGCCATACCCCTTAGGCCCCACAAATATCAGGGAAAGCTGGAGTGGGCAGCAGGGCTGGAGTGATGGTCTGGGCCAAAGTCAAGCCCTTTCTGGGCAGGCTACAAGGTGTTAGTGGCCATTCAACAACTTAGAAAGAAATCTTAGAAAGTGGAATTTTAGAGGCCTGTCCTGTGATGAGGGACAGGCCTAGCCTGGAGCAGAGGTGCAGATCCTGAACAGCAGAAAATCCCAAACAGCCACGGGCAATCCAAAAGGAATGATGCTCTGTTTGGAAGTAAATGATGTTTGGGGCCTGTGGCTAACTAGAAGATGAACTGTACTGGCTGTTGAATCGAATCTGGCCTCCGCAGCCTGGAAAGGCCTTACAGGCAGGCGAGGGCAGAGAGGGGCTGAGGGTGCAGAGAACCCACGTGTATTAAGCACCTAAACCCTGTGCCAGGCTCTGTGCACATACCCTACCCATACTGCAACCTTCCACCGGCCAGGGGCCGGTGTCCCCCGTGAGCTGCGAGGAAACAGTCTCAGAGAGGTGATGTGATGGGCCCTGCCAAATCACATGGTTGGTAAGAGGCAGACTCCAGGTCCAGCTGACTCCCAGCCCAGGCTCCCTCGCACCTGTGTGCCCCAAGGGAAGGAGTCAGGTGACTGGAGTGTGTGTGGTGGGTAGAGCCCGGGCACCTGAAAGGCTGTCGCAGAGGCCTCAGTTCAGCCAGGAGGAGAATTTGGCTCAGTGACTCCCTTCCCTCACCAGGGAGGAGCCTGGCCCCTGGACTCTCCTCAGATTCAAGGACAGGCAGGGACAGAGAGGATGTTGACCCTCAGCCCTGTGGCTGCCAGGGCCTGTGGCTGGCACTCTCCCCCGCCGCAGGTAGGACCAAGCCATCACAGATTGATGGGAATTCCCAAATTCCTCCCAACCACCTGAGGGTCCCTCCAGAGTGGGGACACCTGCTCAAGCCAGCCCTCCTCACCCACCAGCGACCAGCTGAGTCAGGGTTTGGTTTCGGCCCCTAAGTGGATACCATCCACTTGGGGAGACCTTGAGGTGGGGCTGGGACAGAGGTGGTAGGGGGCAAGAAGGGGAGGAAGGAGGGAGGGAGACGGGAGAGGTGGGCACTGAGACCTGGGCTCACAGGGTGGAAGCCCCTGGAAGACAAGATGGGGGTCCTGAGGCTGACTGAGGCAGGCAGGAAAGACCCTGTGACCGGCCTCATCTCCCCCACTGGGGCCACTCCCAATCCAATCCCATCTTCTCTCTGTAGTTTTGATTTTCCTGCTGACTTTTTCCAGAGGAAAATGGCCTCCAGTGAGGTGTGTTGTGAGAAGTGGGTGGCGGGAGAGGGGCGGGGCCTAGGACGGGAAGAGGTGAGGGGCTGGCTGGCCTGGGGTCCTCCCCGCTCTGCCCTCACCCATGCCTTAGGTGCTTGGCAAATGCTTGTTAAGCGAGTGATTCTCCTATGTTCCCTCCAGTCCCCGGCTGTGGCTGAGACACCAGTGGTGGGGGGTGGAGGCTGGTGACCAAGCTGAACCCCGGACCTTGAACCCCAGCATTAGGCCCCCCATACTGAACCTTTGCCACCAGAGATTCTGATAGCTGGGAACCCATCTGTGTCTCTCAAAGGGGCCCATCTTTTTTTTTTGAGTTTACTTTTGTTTGTTTACCTTGGGGTTGATAGCACAGAAATACAGTTCAAAATTCAAGGTACAGAAGGGTATTTAGTACAAATTCCCCCTCCCACCTGCCCACCCCTCCATCAAATCGCTCCTAGCAACTGATGTGTCTTGTGCCCTCTAGATAAGGAGGGGGCCTCCCAGCCCTCTAGATAAGGAGGGGGTCTCACTTTGGAGGCCAATCTTGCATTACTCAGGTTTGGGGGTGAGGGGCCAGGGCATCCTCCCCCGGAGCATGGACGGCCTCTGTGCCTGGGGGCTGATGCCCAACAGCTGGAGCCTCTCACACCCGCAGAGGCTGGACTCTTTCCCGAGTTGTCAAGGGTGTCACTGGATGCCCACAACTTGGAGGCAGCAGTTTTACCCTGTGGTTTCAGTTGTGCCCCCTTCACCCATCAGTCATCTGACCACCCGCCTCTCTCATCCACAGGCTCTGGCCCTGGCAGGGGAAGTGTCCCCTCCCCCCAGGCTGGGTCGGTGCGGGGTTGGGGGGGAGGGGGGCAGTCTGCGGCCTACCTCCTCACCCTCCTCGATGTGGTAGTCCTTCCTGGTGTTGGGACCCCCGACGAACATGATTTTGAGCTGCTTCTGGTGCCTGCAGTGGATGAGAGGGGAGAGGTCCTGAACCAGCTCGTGGTTGTACAACCAGAAACTAACACAACCTTGTAAAGCGATTATGCTCCAATAAAGATATGAAAAAAAAATCCCACCTCATGGGGCTACTGGAGAATTAAATGAGAGGATGTGAAAACACTTGGCAGTCTCGGGCTTGTCAAGGTGTTAGTGATTAGGAGCTGTGTGGTTTGAGGAGCCGCCCTGCTGGAGATGTTCAGCGGACCCAGCAAACTCAGGACTGTGAACCCGGAGCTGGGGCGCACACGAGGCAGGGCCACCCAGGCGAATGAGGGGGAAGGAGGTGAAGGGTCCACAGCGGAGGGCCTCAGAGGTCTGCTGGAGGAAGACGGTCAGCCCTGTTGGGTGCTGGGGCAGAGGTGGCCAGGGAGGGCCTGGTGGGGGTCTGTGAGCGCCCAGCTGCAAAGCGGGGCCTGGGAAGAGCACCAAGTGGAGATCCCCCCGCAGGAGCTGACCCTCTGACTTCGCCCTCTGCCTGCAGCTTCCTGAACGGAGTGTGCGTGTACGACTGGGCTGTCCCCAGGCCTCCGTTCTACAATTGATTCTGGGGTATCCTCCCCACCCCCCAATTTCAGTGGGGGTTGGAGCGCTGTTTCTCAGCCCTGGGGGACAGGGCTGCCGTCTGGCATCGGCATCTCTTTAGTCTCCGTCACCCAGCCATCCTTAGACGTCAAGGCATCACGCAGTCACCAGAAAGAGGAACAGACGAAGGTGGTGAAACCCGGAACAGCCCGTCCTCACCCTTCCCTGAACATCACGAGAATGGCATCCCCCTTTCTGCAAGCTTCTGGGTTAACGAACTCCGAGCTGGAGGTTGAGGGGTGCAGATGGAGGAGAAGCGGGTGAGGACAGAGGGCAGGAGGGTGGGGGCGTGCGTGGGACTCACAGGAGCTGGTTGCAGACCGGGGGCAGGAAGGAGGCGCGGTTCTCCTGCACCCAAGCCTTCACTCTCACGGGGCTCTCCATGGTCCCCCAGGAGCCGCGCTCCAGAGCCGTGTGTTCCGCGCCGTCGGAGGGGCGCGCCTCTGCCCGACCGCCTATTGGCCGCCTGGTTAATCAGCATCCCGAGGGTCAAAGGGCGGGGCAACCACCCGTGACGCGCTGTGGCCCCTCTCGGACTTTGGTCTGGAGCCCCCGCGCGCTCCGCGCCGCCTGGTCCAGCCTCTCAGCACAGTCTGGGCGCCCCGCCCACCCGCGCCGGAGTAGGGCGCCCGATCCGGGCGTAAGTCACAGGATCGAGAAACTTCCTGGTCCCTTGTCCCCAGACTTTCCGCCTGGGCCCCAGAGAAACCCAAAGAAATCCTATGAGGGGGAGAAGGCGGGTTTGTAAACCAGAGCGCCTGAATACAGCGGTGCTGGCACTGGGTTGGGGCCTCAGTTTCCTCATCTGAAAACTGGGAATGTCTACACAGCCATCTCGGGGTTGCATAGCGGCCACCATAGGCCCCGATTGATGTTAGTCCCCTATCCTTTCACGAGGACAGAGGTCGGGCCAGGGTCCGCAGATTTCTTGGGGGCTGCTTGCTCGGCTCTACCTGTGGCTGGGTCGGGAGAGGACAGGAGGAGCAGCGGGGGGCGCAATGCTGGGAGCCCCGGACGCAAGACAGGTACTCGCTGCGCCGGGCTGGGGGGCGCCGTCCATTCACCTACGTTCGCAGGTGGCGGACAGAGCACCGACAAGGTGCCTGGCACTGTTCTCAGCTCCTTTCGTGTCTTGGGGGCATATTCAAGTCACACCACAATTTATGAGGAGTTTTACAGATGAAGAACCGGGCACTCGGACCTCAGGAATCTGCGATCCGGGGTGCGGAGGGCGGACAAACCTAATGGGCTAACGATTCCAGCCTGGGGTGAGAGGCGCTAACCCGGGACCCTCGGGGCGCAGGGAGACCCGATGCTTGCCTGTGTGGGTGCGGAGGAGGGGGAAGGACGATTGGACACCTGCTTTCTTCCCGACTCAGAATTCTTAGGAAGATTGCGCCTGTGTGTTGGAGGAGGGAGGTGAGGGTGGGGGAGAAGGAACATAGCTCAGACACCAGCATCCAGACTGTAGAGCTTAAGAAACTCGAAACCCCTCCGACTCCTGTCCCCCATCCCATCTTGGCCACTCCCTGCTGCCTGGGGTGGGCGGGTTTTCTCAGCACCCTCAGACACAGGGGCTCCTTGTGCAAATCAAAACCCAGTCAGACGAATTACTTTTATTAAGTAAAAACTGTATTTGAAGATAATACTTGCAGTCTGAATTAAAGATATTTTTTCATAGAAAAAAATCTGGAAGTGCCAAGATTTTGGCAAGTCATCTTTGAGTTATGATTTCTTCATATTTCTGCTTATCTGTATTTTCTAAATTTTCTGTAATAAATATATATTTTTTTGAAAAAATAAATTTTTTAGCTTGGAAAACAAAAACAAAAACCCCAGTCTGATAGCAAACAAGACTCCTGCCCTCCCCTGCTGGGATCCTCCTGTTTCCTCTTCACATACCCCTCCCCTCCCCCCTTCTCCCTCCTTTTTCTTTTTAGGTATTTATTTAGTTGTTTTTTTTTTTCTGAGCAATTTCTTTCTAGAATCTTGTTTGGCACCAAAATAACTCAAACCATATTCTTTGTCTTTCTCATCTACAAGTAATCAGAGGAAATGATTGGATGTTTGTTAAATGGATGGATGGGTGGGTGGGTGGATAAAGGCATGAATGACTTCCCACTACAAGGAAAAAAAACCTCCATGATTTCAGCCCAACAGATGTTCTGATATGTAGTTCAAAGAAAAGAATGACAGTTACCCTGCATTTTACTTTTTATTTTTTTAAACTTTTTATTTTATATTGGAGTATAGTTGATTAACAATGTTGTGTTAGTTTCAGGTGTACAGCAAAGCGATTCAGCTACACATATACATGTATCTCTTCTTTTTTAAATTCTTTTCCCGTTTAGGTTGTTGCATAATATTGAGCAGAGTTCCCTGTGCTATACAGTAGGTCCTTGTTGGTTATCCATTTTATTTTTATTTTTTTAAATTAATTTTTATTGGAGTATAGTTGCTTTACAATGTTGTGTTAGTTTCTGCTGTATAGCAAAGTGAATCAGTTATACGTATACATATATCCACTCTTCTTTAGATTTCCTTCCCATTTAGGTCACCACAAATCATTGAGTAGGGTTCCCTGTGCTAAACAATAGGTTCTCATTAGTTATCTGTTTTATACATAATAGTGTGTATATGTCAATCCCAATCTCCCAATTTGTCCCACCCCTCCACCTTCCCCCCTTGATAACCATAAGTTTGTTCTCTACATCTGTGACTCTATTTCTCCTTTGCCAATAAGTTCATCTGTACCACTTTTCTAGATTCCACAAATGCAATATTATACGATCTTTGTTTTTCTCTTTCTGACTTATTTCACTCTGTATGACAATGTCTAGGTCCATCCACGTCTCTGCAAATGGCACTACTTCGTTCCTTTTTATGGCTAATATTCCATTGTATACATGTACCACATTTTCTTTATCCGTTCCTCTGTCGATGGACATTTAGGTTGCTTCCATGTCCTGGTATTGTAATCAGTGCTGCAATGAACATCAGGTGCATGTATCTTTTCGAATTATGGTTTTCTCCAGATCTCTGCCTAGGTGTGGGATTACTGGGGCATATGGTAGCTCTATTTTTAGTTTTTTAAGGAACCTCCCTACTGTTCTCCACAGTGGCTGTACCAATTTACATTCCCACCAACAGTGTAGGAAGGTTCCCTTTTCTCCACACCCTCTCCAGTGTTTATTGTTTGTAGATTTTTTTTTTTTTTTTTTTTTTTTGCGGTATGCGGGCCTTTCACTGTTGTGGCCTCTCCCGTTGCGGAGCACAGGCTCCAGACGCACAGGCTCAGCGGCCATGGCTCACGGGCCCAGCCGCTCCGCGGCATGTGGGATCCTCCTGGACCGGGGCACAAACCCGTGTCCCTCGCATCGGCAGGCGGACTCTCAACCACTGCGCCACCAGGGAAGCCCAGCCCTGTAGATTTTTTGATGATGGCCATTCTGACCAGTGTGAGGTGGTACCTCATTGCAGTTTTGATTTGCATTTCTCTAATAATTAATCTTTTCATGTGTTTGTTGGCCATCTGTATGTCTTCTTTGGAGAAATGTCTATTTAGATCTTCCCCCCACTTTTTGATTGGGTTATTTGGTTATCCATTTAAAATATAGCAGTGTGTACATGTCAATCCCAAACTCCCTAACTATCCCTGCCCCCCACCCTTCCACCCTGCTAACCATCTCCAAAATTTACAAACAGCTCATGCAGCTTAAGATCATCAAAACAAACAACCCAATCCAAAAATGGGCAGAAGACCTAAATAGACATTTCTCCAAAGAAGACATACAGATGGCCAAGAGACATATGAAAAGATGCTGGGCACCATCTGACTCCAGTGTTCAGAAAGTCAACAATTCGAATTCTCTCTGGGTGTGCTGGCATTGTTTAGTCACAGCCACCCAGACTCCTTCCAGTTATTGACCCATGGGCTCCTTCTAGTTTCTGGCTCTTACCAGCTCACAGCAGCCAGCTCTCCTCTCTGCACACAGGAGCTCACGTGCAACGTGGAGCAAGAAGCAGTCGCTGCCCAAGGACCAAAGCTCATCAGAGCCTGTCCTGGTTGCTGGTGCCTGGCTCTGCTCTCCCCTGGATGGTGGTTGCCTGCCCAGGTCACTAAAGCCAGTAGATACTTCCAGGCTTCGCTGAGTCTGGCTGCTAACAGTCTGATCTCTTCAATCCGTCAACGGACAGAACTAGTTTCTCCAGCCGATCCCTATCCCAGCTCACCTTGGTCTGTCTCTGTCTGTCTCTCTGTCCCGCTTTCCCTCCCTTTCATATAATTAAGCAAATGTTTAAGAACAAACATGAATAGAAGGGCTAGGTCATGAACTGTACTGGTTATTTGGAAATCTGGGTTCTGGCCCTGATACCTCTTTATCTTGTATTATTGACAAGTCTGTTTGAAATTTTCTAGACATATGGTTGGTTTGAGGGGGTTTTTTTGTTTTGATTTTTGTTCAGCTATCATTTTGTTTTGTTTATTGTTTCTAATTTTATTGCATTGTGGTGAGTGAAGATGGTCTGTGTATTATTTTTGGGTGGGGATGTGTTAAGATTTCCTTTGCAGCTTAGTCTATGGTCAATTTTTGTGAATGTGTATTCTCTGCTTGGAATGTAGTTCTAAAGGTTTCTGTTAGCCTAACCTGCTGTGTTACATAAATTATCTCTTTTCTAGTTTATCAAGGTGCTCATGGGTGCAAATAACAGAGGCCCCAGTTAAACAATGGCTTAACCAAGAGAAAGTTAAAGACTTATATAACTGGATATGCAGAGGAAGAATGAGCTTGTGAACTAGTGGTGTCATAATAGACCCTGGTTCTTTCTGTTCCTCAGATCTGCTAACCGCAGCATCAGCTTCATCCCAAGGCTGATTCCCTGAGGGGTCAAGAGATGGAAACTATCCATAGCTTTTCTTTTAGATGAAGGGTTCTCAACCTTGGCACCACTGACATTTTGGGTGGATAATTTTTGTAGGGGGCTGTCCTTTGCATTGTAGGATGTTTAGCACATTCATGGCTTCTCCCCACTAGATGCCAGTATCTCTCCACGAGTTGGGACAACCAAAAATGTCTCCAGACATTGCCAAATGTCCCTGGGGGGCAAAATTGCCCCCAAGTGAGAACCAGGTGTGTTTACTGGCAATACAAGTTTCACATGCCCCAACCTGAACCAATTACTGGAGTGAAGGGAGAGATATTCTGATTGATTTATTCAAATTAAGATTTGTGCTTGAAACTGGAGGCAGAGTTGGCTTCCCCCAAAGTCTGTGGCCATGGGGGTGGGGTGGGATATTCACATAAAACTCTGCCTCATGACTGGGAGGTGGGAAATGATGCTTGGAAGGTAGTGAACCATGTCTACTACACCTGACTTACTAAGTTTTCTTTGACCCATTCCCCCCTCTACCTTCTAGTCCTATGTGTCTAGTGGTTATTATTTATTTATTTATTTATTTTGCGGTACGCGGGCCTCTCACTGTTGTGGCCTCTCCTGTTGCGGAGCACAGGCTCCGGACGCGCAGGCTCAGTGGCCATGGCCTACGGGCCCAGCTGCTCCGCGGCATGTGGGATCTTCCCGGACCAGGGCACGAACCCGTGTCCCCTGCATTGGCAGGCGGACTCTCAACCACTGCGCCACCAGGGAAGCCTTATATATATATGTATATATTTTTTTAATTTATTTTTAATTTTATTTATTTTTGCCTGTGCTGGGTCTTCGTTGCTGTGCGTGGGCTTTCTCTAGCTGTGGTGAGCAAGGGCTACTCTTCGTTGCGATGCACGGGCTTCTCATTGTGGTGGCTTCTTTTGTTGCGGAGCATGGGCTGTAGGTGCGCAGGCTTCAGTAGTTGCAGCACACGGGCTCAGTAGTTGCGGCACAAGGGCCCTAGAGCACGCGGGCTCAATAGTTGTTGCTCGCAGGCTCTAGAGAGCAGGCTCAGTAGTTGTGGCGCATGGGCTTAGTTGCTCTGCAGCATGTGGGATCTCCCCTGACCAGGGATTGAACCCATGTCCCCTGCATTGGCAGGTGCATTCTTAACCACTGCACCACCAGGAAAGTCCTAGTGGTTATTTTTTAAATACATGCATGTCTGTAAACTTGTAATTTCTAATGTGTACTGTTAATAAGCATCTGTATCGACCCCTAGAACAAGTCAAGGACAAAAGAATCTGGGCAAGATTTAACTTCCTGCTGGAACTCCCTACTGGCAACTTCTATGTTGATATTGTTTAGATTATTATTTAAAAGTTTTATACAGGCAAGAGTTAGATGTTTTTATATGTTTTTCTAATGTATTAACCAATTATTAAGCTACTGTCTCTCAGCTCCAAACTCACTTTCTATACTCTGCATTATAATGCAGGGCCTGGGATTCTGCAAACTCCATTTATGCTTTGTCAGCTGGTTCTGTTACCCCTGCAAAGTGGAGGTAATAGAGGGAGACTGCAGGGATGGAGGAAGGAGAGGGGACTTGCTCTTTCCTGGTTGCTTCCTGTCTCCTGGCTGCCTGTGGCTCCTGGGCTCATCACCTTGGCTTCTTCCCCTGGCAATTTCTAAATCCAATTTGCAATTTTTCCAGTTCTCGCAGAATCAGCTTTAAAG